AAAAATGCCACTTTTTCAAAATTATATTTTTTATATTATTTATGTTTGGGTTTAGAATTTTAAGATATAGGCTTTATAAATCTATAATTAGTGGTATTTTTATAAATAGACACCTCTAAGTGGCATTCTTGCAAATGTGCACACACAAAATGTCATTTTTGTAAGTGCCCATATATTTTTTACTAAGAATTTTTAATTTTTTTTTAGAAAAAGAATTTCCTAAAATATTCTTTAGATGACATATAAGATTTTTCATCTATTGTCTTCTTTACAGAGAAAGATTAACTGCTGTAATTTTTAAGTAGGCAACAACTCTCACTTTGGATCTCTCCTTCGCGTTTACACAAAAACAAAACAGTACTACACAACATGTAGTCTTTATCAAAACACTCAGTATAAATTAGAGAGTTAACTAGGTGGATGATCAAATATCGGAACTTAAAATTAAAAAAAATATATATATATATATCGGAACTTAATTGGGAAAGTAACTTTGTCTCAAATTTTCTTAGTAATTATTTCAAACTGATTTATATGAGAAGACAAAAATGTCATTAGATGGTGGTAGAAATTCAAAAATATCCCTACTTTGTTTGTGCATTTAACGATTTGGCTTGTATTGGTGATCCGATTAACGGCACAAAACGGTAAAAAATAACGAGAAAATATTCATAACGATATTTAAATAACTATAAAAGATATAAAAAAATGATAAAATAAAAATACAACAAAACAAATACAAAATGGTTTTCTGACTGATAACTATTTAAATGGTATATTTTCACTAATTAATAATCAACCCCATTGTTTATTAGATTTTTGTTATAAATTGACACATGATAATACTTGTAATCACATAAAAATTTGACCGATGACACAACAATAACATTTATGCAAAATATATTTTTCTGGAGTATGTTATGTGATTATTTATTTAGATAAAGTCAAATCATGAAAAAATAATTAGCATAATTACCCAAAACTAATAAAAAGAAAAATTTAAAAAATGCCACTTTTCAAGTACCATTTTACAAAATGCCACTTTTTCAAAAAAAAATTATATTATTTATTTTTGGGTTAATTATGTTTTATTATGGTTTAGTTTTGAGTGTTTAGAGGGTTTTGGGTGTCAAAATATTT